TTCTTGTAAAACCTATATAGCATCACTATGAGTCCAAATCAAATTGATGGCACTTAGCAACAACATAAAGGGACCACCAGTAAGGTATGCACATTAGAGAATGGTCAATCATTTGAGAGCAAAAAGGTAGCATTTACCTAAAGACAAAGTTCAGAGGGTTGGAAAAGTAAAAATGGAAACCAGATACTCAGGAAGGAAGAAGGATAAGTGATGTTACATTGAGGGGATGGCAAGAAATGACATGACATAAAAGTGTGTATGATTTGTTGAATTTAAAACAGCTGATCTGCTCTGTAAACTGTCACCCAATTCACAATAAGAAGCTCAAAAAAAAAAAAAAAAAAAACTTAGGCAAGTACTATGGGGGCAGTTCTAAAGGAGCCCTGGTGGCACTGTGGGTTAAGTGCTGGACTAGTGGTTTTTAACCAAAGGGTTGGTCATTCAGAACTGACTCAAAGGCAGTGGATTTCATTCAGATGGAGCAGTTTTACTTTGTTTTATAGGGTTCACGGCACTGAGTCAGAATTGAATAGAGGTCAATAGATTTGGTTTATTAAAACAATAATAATTTGACAGTAATTTTACAGAAGAGACTTATAAAAAGCTAGATGCTCAAAAAGGAAATAAATTTCCTTCTTTTAGGAAGCTACAATATTAGAAATTTATCACTTACTCTAATTCTTTAAAAAACTCAAATCCACCTGCCTATTTAAAACGTAGAATTATCAAACTGCTAATAGCAGAGACTAACTGAGATAATCTCCACTTCTGAGACAATGAATGAAAGCATAAATCCTCAAGACCCACAGAATAGAGCCACACATCACACATTCCTGCCTACAGCTCAGCACCACATGCTCTAAAATCCAATTTTCCCCCAAGTGTCTAAAGTGTGAACCCAGTATCAAATTCCCTTCCTTCATTGAAGGGAACTGGAAATCTGAGTTACTGTGTGCTGGTGAGCTGATTCTGACTCATAATGACCCTTTGGACAGAGTAGAAGGGCTCTGTAAAATTTCCTAGTCTGCAATCTTTACGAAAGGAGCTCTGGTAGCGTATGGTTATGAATCGGGCTGCAAACCTTAACATCAGCAGTTCGAAACTGCCAGCCGCTCTGCAGGAGAAAGATAAGGCTTTCTGCTCCCGTAAAGATTTATAGCCTCAGAAACCCTGTATAGGGGTTGCTATGGGTCGGATCCGACTCGACGGCACTTAACAACAACAACAAATTTCTACAAAGGTAACAGATTGCCAGAACTGCTGATGGGTTTGAACCATCCGCCTTTTGATTAGCCACTTTGGTAGTCAAACACTTAATCACTGTGCCACCAAAGGTCATTATAAATCTTTAATATAAAATAATAAAAATCTAAAAGCAGTACATTTGTTTCATAATTAATTTGATAATTAGTTTTTATAATTAATAAGCCATACAAATCAATTATTCTCAAGACAATTTCTCCATTCTAAATCACTAGGAACTGGCTCAACAGTAAGATGATATCCAATCCAAAATAATAAGTTCCTCTTATAGAAAGGGCAGTTTCTGCCAAGAAAGTCTAAAGAACCCATTTTAAGATACCTGAAATTCTAAACACCAGTGTTATTTTCAGGATGCTGGTGTGGCGCTGTGGGTTAATGTGCCAGACTGCAAAGCTGTTTAAATTGCAAGGTCAGTGGTTCAAGCTCACCAGCTGCTCCTCAGAAACTCTATACAGGGTCGCTATGGGTTGGAACCAACTGGATGGCACTTCACAACAACGACAAGCATTGGGCACACAGCGTAATTCACTAGACCACTATATCTCCCAATGTTGTTGGACAGATTTCCACCTTACAGTGTATGATCCTTATAGGATAAAGTAGAACTGCCACAAAGGATTTCCAAGATGATCAACTTTATATAAGCAATGGCAACATCCTTCTCCCAAGTGTACCAACACAATTTTTAAAGAAAATACTGGAAGGTAGTATGGTATTACCTATCCTCACCAAGAAAAGTATAATTTTATGATGATAGGAAAAGACATTCTCCATTATGAATGTACTGACAGGTTTCAAAAAGATCACTCTGATGTGTATTAGTGAACCCAAATTACTTGAACAGTAAAAAAGTAAAATAATAAATAAAATGAAATAATAAAAGTACAGAGACATTAATTTACAAGGGAAATTAAACAATGAGGTACCCAAACATCTTGAAGAGGTGTTTTTCAAATGTCAGAAATGTGAACTCACTTTAAAAAACAGAAAGTTGTGAACAGCTGTTACCTAAATGACCTGGCACCGAATATTGGAGGGGACATTTCTGTTGTGCTCAAGAATCTTTCTAGGGTGCTGTGAGTATATTCAATTAATGTTTTATTTTCGCTTTTTGGCTTATGACCAATTTAAAATCTGAAAGAGTGGAAAACTGAACAATATAAGCAGAGTTATAAGAACTGAAGAAAAAATTCAAGCCTCGGCTTGAAACACTGAAGGATTCTATGAGCAAAATACTGAATGGTGCACAAAGCATCAAAAGATAGAAGCAATACACAGAGTCACTGTACCAAAAAGAAAAGGTTGATATTCAACCATTTCAAGAGGCAACATATGCTCACGAACCAGCAGTACTGAATAAAGATGTTCAAGGTGCACTAAAGGCATTGGCAAAGAATAAGGCTCCAGGAAGTGAGGGAATACAAATTGCAATCTTTCAACAAACTGATGCAGCACTGGAGGCACTCACTCACCTATGCCAAGATACTTGGAAGATAGCTACCTGGCCAAGTGATTGGAAGAAATCCTTATTTGTGCTTATTCCAACGAGAGGTGACCCAACGGAATGCAGAAATCATCAGACAGTATCATTAATATTACATGAAGTAAAATCATGCTGAAAATAATTCAGAAATGGTGGCAACAGTACATTGGACAGAGAACTACCAGAGGTTCAAGCTAGATTCAGATGAAGATGTGGAACAAGCAATATCACTGCTGAAGTCAGCTAGATCTTGGATGAAAACAGAGAACACCAGAAAGATGTTTACCTTTGCTTTACTGACTATGAAAATGCTTTTGCTTTTAACTGTATGGACGATGACAAGCTATGGAGAACATTGAAGAGAATGAGTATTACAGAACACTAACTTGTGCTCATAAGGAAAATGTACACAGAACAAGATGCAGTCATTAGAACAGAACAAGAGGACACTGGATGGTTTAAAATCAGGAAAGCGGTGTGCCCGAGTTGTTTTTTCACCATACTTATTCAATCTGTATGTTCAGCAAATAATATGAGAAGCTCGATTATATGAAGAAGAACATGACATCAAGACTGGAGGAAGACTCATTAAAAACCTGCGACAAGCAGATGATACAACCTTGCTTGCTGAAAGTAAAAAGGACTTAAAATACTTACTGATGAATATCAAAGACCATAGTCTTCAGTATGGGTTGCACCTAACAACAACAACAACATAGCTATAAATAAGTGTGTGCTTGTAGGAATATACAAGATCAGCTCCAGAGGTAAAATCTAACAAAGATTTGAAGACTCTTTAGAAAAGAGTTGTGAATGGGTATCTGAGAAGATGTTAAAAAACAACACTGTACTTTCATCAGCATTTGTAAACAGTTACAGAGAGCCTAGCATCGCTTGCTTCTGGAAAGGCAAGCTAACTTTGGGTGAAAATCTGTTTAGGAGGTCCAAGAAAGAAAGCTTCAACTTCCTGGTGGCTTGTCATTTCCCAGTAACAGTGAAAAATAAAAGCAAAATAGCTGTTGGTGTAGACTTGATAATGAAAACCAAATGGCAACAATTACTATTTGCAACAGAATTATATTATTTGCCTATAAATTTTGGTTAAGTCGGCAGAGCGGGGTCTCCAGACAAACCTCAGCAATTCCTGCACTTTCTTCCTCAATCAACACTTAAAATGGTCTTAATTGTAGAACAACAAAAGAACTGCTTTCAAATTCTCAAAATAGTTCCACGTTCTAAATTTTGTTTTCAAATATACTTGCTATACTTCAAAGACCAGAAGGCCTTTCCAAACGGAGAAAGATAAAAGCAAAAAAAAAATAAAAATACTGCACTAATTCAAAACCAAAACCCCCAAACCCCCAAAGCATTCAGTTTTAAGCAATCATTTTCTATTCACACCACTAGGTCTTTCTGTTTTGGCCCTGTGCTTTGACTTTCAGATTTATAGGCTCCCTTATAAGCTTAGGAGTGACTGGATGGCACTTAACAACAACAATTGTAAGCTTAAGGGATCCTTGGTGACACTCTAGTTAAGCATGTGCTAATCGAAAGGTTGGCAGCTCGAACCCATCAACCACTCCACAGCAGAAAGATGAGGCTGTGTGCGCTTCCATAAAGATTTACAGCCAGGGAAATCCTCTGGGACAGCTTGTCCTATGGGGACACTGTGAGTCAGAATCAACTTGATAATGATGGATTTGATCTGTGTCATAAAGTGAAGCAATGTAAACCAAGAAGGACAAGACACTTTCACATGAGTGAAATGAGCAGCATTCTTTTTTTTTTTTCCCTTTTAGAGGAGAGGAGGAGAGACAGAGGTGTGGATAGACAATACAGTCTCTTGTTTCTGGGGAGGGGGGTATAAGGGGTGGGAAGAAACTGTTCTAATTCAGTAGGGGCTTTCAGTGATGCAAACTGACTAGAGGAAGAAAATGAGGGATGGTTTTCTTGTCCCCTGGTGGAACAGATGAAGAGCAGCATTCTTGACCAAGACACTTAAGAAAATTCCTTACAAACTACTTCTAACAAAACACAAACTCAGTTATTGTTCATGCTACTGAAAGGACCAAATAACTTTCCTCTTAAATATTTTTTTGAATAAAAAATGTATTTAAAGTCCCAATTTTCTAAATTAAACAACATTTAAATCAGGTTATTCTAGGGCTTCTCTGTTTAAAAAACTACCACCTACATGATCACTTTGGAGTTTGTTTTAATACAGAAAGAGACGCAATTAGAAATGAAAACCCACCTCTTTTTGCGTAACTGGAGTCCATATCTTTAAACTGCACCACAACAAAGTCGGAACACTTGAACAAAATGCTCTCCATTATTTCTTCACGTTTTGGCCCTGAGCTGGATTCTGTACTTTTCTCATGTGCAGCATCAAGTACCAAATCACACTAAAATTAAAAATATAAGTATTCAAAACACTTAGAAAATTAAGTTTTTTAGACATTATATGATGGAGTATTAAGTTTGTGGAAAAACAGAATTAAAAGCTAGCAACCTTCCTACAAACTTTTTTAAATCCCCCTAGTAAATGAACTTAACTCTCAAAATAGGAATTCTTTAGTACAATATGGCCTTTGTTATTTTTTATATACTTCTACTAAAAAACAATCTATCTCAAAAGAGTCTGATGATGGTACCCTTTAGTTATCATCTGAAGATCTCAAAGTGGCCCTTGCTACCATGATCTGTCTTAATTTCATTAATAGTGATGGAGTAAAAAAAAAAAAAAAAATGAACTGACTCATCTCTTGTAGTCCACAACGCTTGAAAAGAACAAAGTATTTTAATAATTACACAGAACCAAAGTCTTTGCTTATACAAATAATTACCGGTATACTCAGCTCACAACTAAAGATTGCTAAACTTGAAACTAATAAACACTACTCAACAACTGTTGATGATTCATGGGTTTTACATTAACAAAAAGGAAAACTAAAAATTACCTTAGGGCTATACGTTTTGAAAACTCCTTCATATATACCTCCATTTTTCACTTGGACTTCACATTTGGATCCCTAAAAACATACACTTACGTTATTAAGGAAATGGGATGTTTACATAGTCACAGGGCATCAGGTTGTCAGTTCACTCAGTATATCAGATATTCACTAGCAAAACTTTTTTTAGACATTATGATAGGGCTTGAACCATGTTTGTGGGAAAACAGAACTAAAAGATAACAGAACTTTCTACAAACTTTAAAAAAGCCCCCGCCTCATAAATGAGGTAACTCTCAGAATTCTTAGGAGACTGAGGGTTTGCAGCATAAATTTAATGGTGAAATTAAACAATTCTGACCCAAGTTATGCTAGATGACAAGACAATAATGCATTATAGTAGACTATCAACTAACTATATGAGGGGACTTCTATCTAAAAATTCAAGGGAAAATGGGAGTAAAAGATAATGGGCATTTTCCATGAACTTTGTGAGGCCCCTTGTATTATTTTGTACATTGTGTTATAACAAGAACACTTCCCCAGTGGGTTAAAATAGCCTGGATGAAGAGTTCAATTATATTTTTACTAAATCACCCCTGAATAAAATAACCTAAGAGATTATTATTACTCATCTATATTATAACTTCACAAAATTACTTTACACTACTCCCAAGGCAGTTTATTCTCAAAAATCTGATAACTTACAACAACTGACGTAAGTATATGAACCATCCTCATATTTGCATAGATTCCATCAAATGAAATCTGGAATATGAAAACACATTATTAGAAATCAGAATTTATACTTTGGTGTGTGTGTATTCAAGTTAATATTTATTTTAGGATACTTTTAGAAAGGTTTACTGCCATACATGTGCAAAAATGAGATTTGCTTCACTATAATCTTTTGCTTCCTTAGAAAACAGCAGCTTAGGTTATCAAAAGAGAAACCAGTCACACCAATAAATAGAATTTTGACTATAAAAGCAAGAGCAAAGACAAAAACCACTGGAACAAAAAGACCAATGGCTGCCAGAGAGTAGGTGGAGGAGGCTAACTATAAAGTGGCATGAGGGATTTCAGGGGCAACAGAGCTGTTCTAATAGTATTATCTTCACTATGGTGGTTGTCATACGATTGTATTCACCTGTTAAAACTCATAGACCTATACACTAAAAAGGTGAGGTGTTTTTGTTTGGGGGGGGGGGGGGTGTACACATTCAAAGAAGAACCCTGACTACTTCTTCCCTGTATACTTGAATCAATAATAGTGCTCAACCACACCACTTTGTATTACATATTACTTAAAGAGCATTTCTTTCTGATTCTTACAATGACAATCTGTCCAAACAATGCAAAGTCTCAAAAATAGTGAAACTTCCTCATTTCTTTCTTGTATCATATGGAATTTAAATATTTGGCCCTTTATGCCCAGTTTAAATTCAAAGATAACATCCCAGAATTTAAAATCCGAAGGCCCTGTTCCAAGGAGGAAAAAAAAGCAATAAAATAGCACCTTAATTTCAAAATCAAAACCCAAACAGCTCTGCAAACTCAATCCTGATGATCGGCTCATATTTTGGAGGATTGCTCATTTACATTTATTACAATTGCTATTAAAAAATTATCATGCATGACAAAATACTGTTTATAGACAATTTTACATTTTATACATTGTTGTTAAGTGCCATCGAGCCGGTTCCGACTCATAGCAACCCTGTATAGCGCTTCTGAGGAGCAGCTGGTGAGTTTGAAATGCCAACTTTTTGATTCAAACCAACCTTGAGGTGGAGTGCTTATCTTACAGTGCCACACTAGGGATCATTTTATACACTGTTGTTGTTAAGTGCTGTAGAGTCAGTTCTAACTCATAGTGACCGTACGTATGAGCCATCAAAATGAAACAACACATATAAGTAATAATTTTATAGTAAACTATTTGATCTATAAAGATTTCTGAGCTCTCCAATTCAGAGAATTTTTCCCATTTTGTCTTGGCATGTTGTCTATGGGTAGAAATCATACTTTAGTTAACCATTTTTTCCAAAGACATAAAATTCAAGTTACTCACCGTATTCTGAGGCAGTCCTTTGCTACTGTTTCGACCTCTGAAAAGATTAAATATTATGTTTATTAATTCAAACAGGTTAAACAAGATAAAATGTCAAACATTATATAAGTCCATTCAAATGAAAGACAGGCTCCTAATAGTAAGTAAGTCTCAAGGCTAGTTAAGTATGCTTATCTTATCTGTGTTTTGCTGACTCAGATAACCAAGGAAGGAAAGAAAAAAATTAAAATTTTAGCAAAATCAAATAAATGAATTAAAACCCTAAATACGAATTTTGTTGCTATTGTTAAGTGCCATCAATCTTTATTCTAAAAATAACCATTCTCTTATAAGAGCCACTCAAGACAAACATTTAAGTTCTATTTCTGATTTAACCAACATATTTGACTGCCATGAAGGCACCTGCCATTTTCCCCAACCTTTAATGCTAATGTGCTTAGAAGTGCAGAAAAACATGTGAAAATCAATTACATAACTCAAACTACCTTCACATCCGAAAAGTAAGTAAATGCCTCTGTTAGGATCTATCCCAGGGCCGTACCCTGTTAATCACCATCCCCTGAAATGATGCAGTCCACCCCAGAGGGCTGTCAAGTAATTTCCCTTAAGGTGGATTCTATTTTCAAGTGAATTTAATTACAGAATATAATGCAACTTAAGGCTTGTCCCACTGGAAAAGATAACACTCCTCAGAATAATATATACATTAGCAGTAAAAAATATTATATATTTCTCATGAACATTAGAACAGTTAAGAATAAAATCTCATTTTATTAAAATATCACAACACTCAAATGAAATCACGAAGTAAACATATTGAAAGAGCAGCAAATCTCATGACCCAAAGATCTAGCGGTCTGACTGGGGTGGTAGTCAATAAAGTAGCACTGCCCTTGACACACAGAACCCAGGGATGGCTTGGGCTCCAACTGTCTGTATCCAGAATTGCTACAATGTATTACCTAAAATGTCTAGTTTTCAAGAAACCACTAGACATGTTAAGAAATAGGAAAGTATGATACAGATACTGGAAAAAACAAACAGGTAACAGAAACCCACAGTTGAGTGACTAGATGTCAAAATGAATCAGACTCTGAAGTAACCATTATAAAGCTTTCCAAAGAACAAAAGGGAACCAGGATGAAAGAATTAAGATATAATGACATCACATAAAACAGAATCAACAAAAATATAGACATTACAAATAAGAGCCAAGCGTCTGGAGGCTCAGAACCATAGTCTTGGAGGACATCAACTGGTATAACATAGTTCACAAAAACAATGTCTCCATCCTTGTTTGGTGAGTTCTTAAAAGTTTGTGTGTGGCTGTCTAAAGTGAAACTAATAGTCTCTCCCTATCCAGAACAAAGATGAGTGAAGAAAACCAAAGATATGTAGGAAAAATTAATCTTCAGTCTCCATGACCCTAAGAGCCGAACTTGATGGTGTCCAGCTACTACTATCAACTGCTCTGAAAGGGATACTGGACGGTCCTGGAGAAAGTGAGAGAAAAATGTGGAACTCAAATCATAAAAAAGGAAAAGAAAAAGAAGATAAAGATGCTTCTTACTGGTCAGATTAGAGATGGGTGGAAGCCCTGAGTCACCTTTCAGGTCTGGAAATGAACTCACTCCCATGGACCATTTTTCAGCCAAACAATAGGTCTATATAAGGGAAACAATGACACTAGGAAGGTCTGCACACCATAGAATAATAAACATTTGATATCAAAAGGGCAGCATTGACCCAAGGACCAAGTTCACAAAGGTTAGGAAAGGAGGAGGAGAAATGGAAACAGGAAACACAGGGATGAAGTAGAGTTCGTGATGATATACTATAGGGATCACAATCAGTGTCATGAAACAAAATGTGTATGAAATGCTAAATGAAAAATTGATGTGCTCTATAAACCTTTGCCTGAATTCACATACACACACACACACACACACACACACACAAGTAGAAAGCCTGGAGTTGAAAAGGAAAATAACTGAAAAGGAAAAAAATCACTAAAGGGTCTCAACAGTAGACATCAACTGACAGAAAAAAGAATACGAAAACTTGATGATACACAGAAATTACACAATTCAGAAAGAGAAAAAAGGAGGATGAAAATGATCAGTCACAGAAAAATGTGGGACACCATGTATACTGATGTACATGTAATAGGAATACCAGAAGGAGAGAAAAATAGAAAAGCTACTCAAAGAAATAATGGCTGAAATTTTCCAAAATTCTTGTAAAATATTAGTTGACATATACAGGAAAATGCATGAATTCCAAATACAATAAAAATCCCTGAACAGTCAACGTAAGTAAAAATACTGACAAAAGTCAGGAGAAAATACTGAAAATAATAAGAAAACAAAACAAAACAACGCCACAGGAGAACCCAGTGAAATTAACAGCTGCTTCTTAACCAGAAATAAAGGAGGCCAGAAGGCTATGAGACAGCATATTCAAAATAGTCAAAGAAAATAACTGTCAATCAAGAACCCTAGATCTAGCTGTTGAGGCCGCCTATGTACAACCAAACACATTATAGGATTTAGTCCCTTCATTTGGAGGTTTCAGATCATGATGTCAAGGGATATCTCAGTTACCTAGCCTAACAATGTGTTTAATGCTTCTGTTCTACCTTCAAGTCCATTGTGTAGTGCTAGAATCTTAAAAGCTTACAAGTGTCAATCCAAAGACAACAACTGGTCTCTATTCACCCAGAGCAACATAAGGAGGAAGATCAGGAACAGGAGATGAAAACAGAACATATGCTAATTGTTCCCATGATCAAATGCCACCTTTGCCATGAGATTAACATTACTGAACTATGTGATCAAAGATTCCATTCCCATAAATTGTACAGTCTCAAACACTCCATACAGGGTCACTATGATTTGGAACAAACTCAATGACATTTAATGACAAATATAAAATTTCTAAAACTTAACAAAAAGACAAACAACCACATAAAAAATGGGCAGAGGACTTGAACAGACAATTCACGTAATAAGACATCTAGATGAGATCGGGCGCACTCAGGGAGGTATGGCCGTAGGGAGACTAAAGACAACATTTAATGGCCAACAAGCTCATGGAAAGGTGTTCAGTATATTAACTATTAGGGATCTACAGATCAAAACCACAATGAGATATCACTTCATCACTGTTAGAAAAGCAATAACTACCTCAGAAAGAAAAAAACCAACCTCAGAAAACAACAAGTGTTGACAAATCTGTGGAGAAACTCAAACCCTCATCATTGCTGGTGGAAGTGTAAAATGAGGTAGCGACCATGGAAAACAATTTGGTGATTCCTCAAAAAGTTGAACATAGACAAAGGGCAACTTACAGTATGATTCTATTTATATTAAATGCGAAGATTATCCAAGTTTATAGAATCAGAAAGATTAACAATTGCCTAAGGCTAGAGGGGATGTTCAATTGAAAGGGGATGGTTTAAGGCGTATGAGTCTTTCTTTTTGGGATAATGAAAATGTTTCAAAATTGATGGTGGTGATGGACACACAACTCTACGAATGTACTAAAGGTGACTACCATAAATGGGTGAACTGTGTGTTATGTGAATTGCATCTCAACAAAGCAGTAAAAAAAAAAAAAGTTGAACAGAGAACTACTGTATGAACCTAGATACATATCCAGAAGTAGTGAAGACAGGAAGGCAAAAAGAAATCTG